CTATAGTTCTAGGAGGAGGGCACTGTTTGCTGCTTGATTTTTAAATCACAATTAAAGTTGTATCAGATAGCTTCACTGGGAAGAGAGTTTTTTCAAAGAGGCAGCCATATCTTTGCCTGTTATCACCTAGGAGCTCCCAAAACACTGTGAATGTTTTGTTTTTCTTTTTCTTGAGGAAATTGACATGTAGGGCAAATTGTTAGACCAGTGATTTGTGCTTGTTTAGTTTAACAAGTAATCTGCTCCTGGCCATGTGGTAGAGTGTGCTATATTTGTTGAGCTTTTCCTGCATGCCATACACTACTGAACACTTTATGTCCCTTATATAATTTCATCCTTATAACATACACTGTCATCTCCTATTGTGATGAAGAGACTCAATTTCAAAAATTTAGTAACTGGCCCACAGAAACACAGTATCAGGCTGTACGTTCCCGTCTTTAGTCTTTTTAACTGTTCTGCCTCCCACCAGGGCTTGATCATTAGATGGGAGGTGAGTATGACACTATTTGCAGGAAAAAGGTGTAAAAACGTCTCATTGGGCTGAAGTGACTGGTGTGCCATTTCTACTGGGGCCATTGAACTGAAATGAATTAGTATTTATTTCTCTATATGGTTGCATGTAATGGAGATGCCCAGTGGAAAGCAGTTGACAGGTATTAGGTGCCAATAAGTAGTCGCTACTGTCACTGGAGTTGCTTTTCAGTATGTTTGGGATGATTTTGCCCAGTCCTGTGCTTCTCAAATTTACTGTGCTTTTCGGCCCCCCAAGAATCTTGTTAAAATTCTAATTCTGCAAGTCCAGAGCAGAGCCTGAGATTCAGCAGTTCTAAACTATTCTGAGCCAATGCAGTGCTGGTGGCCCAAGGACCACTTTCTGAGTATCAAGGGCTTCATCCTTGAGCACAGCAATGGATTTCCCATGAGACAGTGTGTAGTTTTTAACTGAGATACAGCAAAATCACCAGCCCAGAGCAGACATTTGTCCTTGGTCTCAGCAAAAGAGTGAAGAGCTAGCTGAACTAACTAGGAATTTGGCATTTTAAGAGAAATGAGAAGAAGCTGGGGAGGGAAGAGAAATGAAAGAAATGCTGCAAGTGAGAGAAATACATCTTGCTAGGAAATGCGAAAGTAGTTGGAAAAAGTTGCTCTGAAGTGCGAACAGGTTATCGTGAAAAGATCTTGGTAGGAAAACCCCAAAGACAAACTGTCTCAACCTCACATTGCATTCATTATCAAGGCCCCTACTAATGAGGCAATTAAGGTTGCTAGGATACAGGCTAAGGAGGCGCCCACTCTCAGGGCCCGTCCTCTATTTGCACCACCCTGAGAGTGAGTGCCTCGTTAAATTTTGAGCCCTAGTCACTTCATTCTCCTCACCCCTGTTCTATCTATCTAACGTTGTCAGACTGGAAGGGATCTTAGTAATCACCATATTCAGCCCCCTATTTTATAGATATAGAAACTGGGCTCCAGGTTAAATGACTTGTTCAATGTAATTAAGAGTGAAATCATATTTAATGGATTCCAAGATGCACATTTCTCCCTGACAGCTGAACTGAGGTCAGAATTGTCTTATCATTGATGGCTTTTGACTTCAGTGTCATAGTTTGATTGGCAGTCTTTCACCTTTCTTCGGGGTATAAAAATAATAATGGTGCATCTTACAGTGGATGGGTTCTTATGTACCGTGAAACACAGTATTAGAGAGCAAGGCCCTTTGCCTCCTGATTCAGTGCTCCTCTGCTGCACACCTGGTGACAAGATTGTCCTGAGGTCTGTGTGGTTACTCTGATGCTTTTGGAGACAGCTTAGCTTTGTGGCTGAGGGCATGGGCTGTAGAGCCAGGCTGCCCTCCTACATACCAGCCGTCTAACTTCTGCCCATGCAGCTTAGTCCTCTGTAACTGAAGATAGAAAAAGTGTTAACTACCCAGTAGTGTCCTTGTGAGAGTAAAATGAATTAATCCATACAAATCAGTTGAAACAGTTGCTGACACATAGTAAGCACTCAATAAACATACTGTTGTTATTGATGACAGTCTCACTGACCAAGTCACCCTGGACCCCCGATAGTGTCTGTACAGTAACTTGGACCAAATAGGTGTTCCTCTGTGCATGCCATATGATTATAACTGTATTGAGAATCCTGTTAAACCCTGGACAGGATTTCTGAGTATCAGCATAATTCACTTTTTATGATTATTACAAAGAGAAACTATAGCATTTCCACCCATAAAGGGTGTTAAAAATGTAAATTGACAAAGATTTGTCTTGACTGTACAGATGTTGGTCTGCCTGCAAATGGAGCTGTGCCAGGTGAAATCCATGGCAGTTCTGCAATCTTCTGTTAACTGAGAGCCATTATTGTTTTAGTACTAATCCCACAATGACCAGGGAGTTCTGACTAGATAGCATTTGTTATGAGCCTTGATCAGATGAGACATGGTTGACCACTGTGCCTTCCTTTACCCTGCCTCCAGCTCTGCAATTAGCATTTGTATTAGCTCCATTGTGCGACTGCCTAATACAGTCATCTTGAAAGTGATGGATGTAGACAACATGATTGTTCTTCATACTTATTCTTTTTTGTTTTTTATTGTACTTTGGGCTCTGTGGTACATGTGCACATCCTGCATCCTGCAGGATTGTTGCATAGGTACCTACATGCCCTGGTGGTTCGCTGTGTCCATCTCCCCCGACTCCCGTCGCCTACATCACGCATTTCTCCCAGTGTTATACCTCCCCATCCTCCCCACTGTCCTTTCCCTCCCCTCCCTGCCACTCTCCCACCTAGCCTAGTAAGTGTTGTTCCCTTCCCTGTGCCCACATGTTCTCATTGTTCATCACCCGCCTATGAGTAAAAACATGCGGTGTTTGGTTTTCTGTTCTTGTGTTAGTTTGCTGAGAATGATGGTTTCTAGATTCATCGGTGTCTCTACAAAAGACACGAACTCGTTTTTTATGGCTGCATAGTATTCCATGGTGTATATGTGCCATGTTTTCTTTGTCCAGTCTATCATTGATGGGCATTTGTCTTCACACTTATTCTTAAACTTTTCTCATTTTTTTTTTATGATTGCTGTGTTTAACTAGGCGATTGGAGAATTTGGGTTAAGCCTCTCCTAAACCTCTTCCCTTGACCTGGCAGGATACAGTTTCTCCTCCTGAACTCCCAGGGCACTATGCAGCTGTCTTCTAACATTGATCATAGGCTTATGTGTTGGCTTATATGTTTACTTGTTTTATCTGCTGCTCTGCTGCTTGGTTATGAGGACCCTCAAGGAAGGGATCTTGGCTCACTCTTTGTCATCCTGCAGCAGCTGGCATAGTGCTTTACTGTTCTTAGTAGACATTCGATGAATGGATACCTTTTGGGTTTCTGAGTAGATCTGGAATACATTTATTTCACTCAGTTCACATATATTCTATAAATAGATAATAGCTCATCTGAGGCTATGCTAACTTCCCTAATTACCTGCCTTATAAAAGCAGGGCAAGTTATTCCCCTACAACATGGCAAACTTTATCCAGCTTCTATAAGCTACATTACACATCAATAATAGCTGTAATGGCATACCCTGATAGATGATAATAGATGACTTCAGACCAATTTGCTTCTAACACCCAGATTCTATACAATGAACCTCATGTAGCACTGATGCTCAGCTGTCAGTGAGAAAATCTATTCCATTGGTGGTGAGAGTTTCAAGAGGCTGAGCCTTGGAAGGCAAATTGAGAGAGGTTCTTGCCTTCTGTGACATAGCTGTGAACACGAAGTTGCAGGCAGTGCAGGGTTCCTGGCCACAGGCAGTCTAACAGATCCCATAAATGGAATTTTGGTTTTCCAGAACTGACAAAATAGAGAACATTTTTGGTGAACTTTTTTTTTTTTTTTGTATTTTGTTTTTTTGTTTTTTTGGTGAATTCTCTAAAAGACACTTCAGACTTCCTGCCAATCTTCGGGTAACATTTACTAAGTTTACAACTGATTTGTCTTCTTAAATACATTTTTCCCTTGATCAGTGGATGTATGTTGGGAAGGGCAGAGCAATCTGATACTGAAGATTAAACAACTATTTCTATTTGAAAGGAACTCTGCAATTCAGATGCTCAGGGATGTGTCTTGCCTCGAAGTTCTTGTAAATGTTCTTAAGGAAGAGGGTAGATGTTAAAAGTTCATTCATTCCTGAGGTGTTTCACGGTCTCTTATTTATCTCTTTCACATCCAAAAGTGTTATCCACACGTTTCAGTTCACTGTGTTACTTTGCATTAATTTAAGGTGAAAAAGGCTATTCCTAACTCGGTAAGTTGGGAAGAGGCGTGAACAGAGGAGCGGATTAGGAAAGTTAGACAAATTTCCAGCTTCTGGCCGTCTTTATTTGGTGACTTAAAAATAAAATACTTGCAGCGTTAAAAATTCTCAGAATATAAACCATAATCTCAGTTCAAGATTAGAAAAATAACAGGAGGTTTTATTTTTCATTACCTGAATAACGTCTCCTCAGTTTTCATGAGTACGGATAAGTTGACTGTACTTAAATCCTTTTTGTAACAATGCAAGGTGGGTTAATAATTACAGCATGGCAACCTTGCAGATTAGTTCAAGCCTACAGACATATTTTTTGACTAAGACTTTAGATTCAATTTTTCTAAGGCTTAGACAAATGCAAATTTCAACCAGAGAGAAAGCATATAGTTGTATTCTAGTCATTCTTTCTTGAAGTGGTTTTTATTTGCAAACAGATCAACTAAATGTGTAGTTCATAATGCATACAAGAATCAGAGAGAATCATTTTTCACAGGCCGGAGAACTTTTCTTTGTATTTCTTTGCAATAACAGCTGGGGCAGGTCATGCATGTATCTCCTGTTTCCCTGTCTCACCTCACTGTGCTTATAGCATTCATGTTGTGGACTAACAATGGAAGGACTAAAAGGCAAAAGAGCCTAAAGTGCAATCCACAGATGACCTTAGCTAACTTTGATTTTTGTTTGTTTGTTTTGCTTTTTTGTTCAAAGTGAACTTTTATGATTATAATTCTCTAGCTTTTCAGTTCATAGTTGCTACAGATCTTCAGCAGTTTGCCATTCAGTCCCATTTTGTCTGTTCCTTTCTGAAGTTGTGTGCAGCTTAGTGACCCCAGGAAAGCCCTTCCTGATGGCATGCAGCTAACTTAAGGGTGTCAAACTTCCTATTGATAGGAGCTGTTGAACTTGACAGCCTCGGATAGAGGGTGAGTATGAGGCATGAATAACTCAATTTGTTCATCTTGGTTACTTAGGGGGACTTCATAGCATAGTTTTCTCTATTATTATCAGAAAATAAATTTGCATGAAAATGTCTGTGCATTGCTCTTTTGGCCTTTTTGCAGAAAGCAGATTTACTCCTGCTATAGGGAGCTCAGTCTCTACTTTCATTTGACTTGTGGCATTATAGAGGTCAGAAGACATGGCCCATCATTAGCTGCTAAAATCACAAGGTATTCTGCATGACTGTAGCTGGCAAGGTAGCATTTCAGTCCAGTGCAGTGTGCTTTTCAGGTGTCATAGTGATTGCCTTCCAAAGCATTTGGAAAGAAAAGATAACATTAACCATCTTAACAAGTGGTAGCTTCATTCGAATGTTGAGATCCATTATTTTAACAAAATGAATGGTTTTGGGGGATATCATATGCTGAAGAGTCAAAGTTTAATATTAGTCTTGAGTTTATTTGATTTTGAACTTGCTTCATCAGAAATTAATAAATATACGAGAGAAATACGACAAGTTTTAAACATAAACACTAAGTAGATTGAAATCTTGTCTTTAACTTCAAATCATAGTAAAATTAGCAATTCACAAAGGAATTGTATATATTCCTCAGCCAATGGTAAGTGGATTACAGGATAAAAATTCCAGCTAATGAGAGCTAATCAATAGACTTTTCCTATCCTTGGAAGACACTCCAATGACCCTTCTGTTGCAGCCATTGTGAGAAACAATCATTTACCCAGTACACTTTATTCTGAGTGGAATCCGAAACCACATGGTAGGATTAGCTTGATCAGTCCAAACTAACTGACCATGCTTCCCCCCGGCCCAACCATTTGATATGGCTTAGAGAGCTCCCTGGTCATTGGGTGAAGGATTAGTACCTAGCTACCAAATTCGTGTGCAGTTTGCAAAGCTAAACTTTATAAGCCCATCTTCTGATGTTCTTATTTGGGCAGTGCTATGATCCGAGTAACAAAAGATGGCTTTTATAGGCTACATACATTCTAATGTTGAGATTCATTATTTTAACAAAAATGTGTTTCTGGAGGGATACCATATGCTGAAGAATCAAAATTTAACGTTAGTCTTGAGTTTATTTGATTTCGAAGTTGCTTCATCAGAAATGAATAAATAGACGAGAGAAATACCACAAACTTTAAACATAAATGCTAAGTAGGTTGAAATCTTGTGAATTTCTTGTGAAATCTTGTGAATCTGTGTGAATAGAATAGGTATATATAGGAAATGTGTCATAGTATTATATTTCTCTCTCTCCTTTTTCTCTAGGTTGCTTTTAAATGTATCATTGGCATCTCTATATATTAATGAGTTACTTTTCAAAATTTAGCTCTTAATAACACCATTCTTCATAAGTAGATTATATCTTTATTGACTTGTTTTGCTGGAGTTTAATGGAGGTGTTGAAGAATATTATTTATTTTTTGATTTGGGCTAAGATGGCTATAATTGAGAACAGTGTGCACTAAAAATGTAAAATTAGCAAAGCAGTTTAGAAGTCTAAATGTACCAGATCTATGCATTTCATTAAACTCTACATCTGACTTAAAAATTATAAGGCGGCTGGGTGGCTCACAACTATAATCCTAGTACTTTGGGAGCTGATCACAAGATCAGGAGTTCAAGACCAGCCTGGCCAACATGGTGAACCCACAGCTCTACTAAAAATACAAAAATTAGCCAGGCATGGTGGCCCACGCCTGTAGTGCTAGCTGTTCAGGAGGTTGAGACAGGAGAATCACATGAACCCAGGAGGCGGAGGTTGCAGTGAGCCGAGACCGCACCACTATACTCCAGCCTGGGTAACAGAGTGAGACTCCATCTAAATAAGATAAAATAAATAAAGTAGCGTCAGATCTTTCCCTTCAAACTTTAAGCAAATAAAGTGGATTTAGATTTTCAAATTTAAAACCAGAGCACAAAAGCTATTAATTAGGTTTGCATTTACTAAATTGAACAACCATGGTCCAAGACAGCATGTTATGCTTAGAATTTTCTTTTCTACACTGGGGTCTTGTTATATTGCCCAAGCTGGACTCAAACTCCTGAGCTCAAGGGATCCACCCACATCCGCCTCCCAAGTAGCTGAAACTACAGGCACATAGCACTGTGCCTGACTATGCTTAGAATTTTCTTTTTCCTGACTTTAGGGTGGTAGATAATTCAGCAGGATACAGAATAAATGTGTTGCAAAAGTTTGGAAAAGTTAAGATAGCTATGTGTTGGAGAAAAAGAACAGAATGTTTTACAAAAAAAGCAACCGGGGAGGCATTTTGGAAAGGGGGAAGATGAAGATACATAATAATGCTATTCGTAACACGGAGAAAGTGTATTTTTCCAAAGAAAGATTATAATGCTTGTTGTTTTGATGAAGTGAACCAAAAAAGTCCATTCAAGGATTCAGATTCCCTTTTCTTCCCAAAAGTAACTAGAAAGGTTCTTATCTAAAAGATTTTGTTATTATTATAGGAGAATGAAATTTTCAGTACACTCAATATTATGCAGAGTGAAAAGAGTATCCTCAAAATTTGTAGTATTTTTTGTGCATTCAGTAATTGGAGCTTTCCCAGCTATTCACAGATTGTGGTATTTCCAATTCTTCTTGTTTCATAATCGCACCTAGTAATTATGAGAAAATAATTTTTAACTGTCCTCTCTGACCTGATTAAAATTACATTGTGCTAGGGACTACTAGCTGATAAGTTCGAAGGCTCTGACGCGAAAAACCCGTTGTTGGTTGTATGTTTCAGTTAACATTCATGATGACTTTGTCTTGCATGAATTACTACTTAGAGTATTACTGACCCATATTAATGGGATCAAGACCAATACATCTTCTGTAAAGGAGAAGTTTTGCATCACTGAACAATAAAGCAGGACAGCATAGTTTGTGGAAAAGAAGATTTAGAACTACATAGCCCATTATTTCACTTTCTGTGACATAATTGTAGTGAACTCTTGAACTTGTAGGGAATATATGCAAAATTAAGACCAAGGAAATAATGATATTTTCCTCCTTAGATGATGCAAGGCCTAGTGTACACAGTGACATCACATCACCACATTGGCTGAAAAAGCATTTGGGAAAAGTCAAGTCTGCATGTCTGACTTGTGAATTACATTAAGCCTAAACCTAATAGCCCAAGTTGCTAGACGGAAAAGAGGAAAGGGAGAGTTAAAATTGCTTTGAATTAAAATTGGAAAAAGATGAGAACCTTTGTAGAAACTTAAATCACCCCAAAACATGACTACCAAAAAGTAGCATTTCTAGGAGTAGTTTGATTTATATTTCACGAGGACTGTCACTGGTTCATTCAGCAAATGCTCACTAGCACCTACTCTGAGTCAGCTATTGTGTTAGGCACTTGGGATACGGCAGCAAAGGGAATGGGAAAGATTCATTCTCGAGCTCACATTCTAGTAGAAGATTTGAACAATAGACAGTAAACATAATAAATGAGCAAATGCTATAGTATGTTAGAAAGTGGTAATAGCCGGAGAAAAGAAAGCATAGAACAGAATAATAGTGACTTGGAGTATGTGTGGGATGAGCCAGCGAGTGGGCAGTTGTCACAAGTTTGATTTCCTAGAAGATCCAATCCATATCATGGCATCTCTCCCCTGCCACACACACTTTGTAAAATAAATCTATTTTAAGATACTAGCCAACTGCTTCTCAAAAAGGTTAAGTAACTTGCCTTAGATCAAGCATCTGTTAAGAGAGAAATCTGTTTACCCTAAAATATTTTTATCATACCCTGCTGCCTCCCAGCTCAGTGTCTCCCTGCTCCCCTGTTTCTGTTGCTTTCTGCCAGGGATATCTTTGGCTCAACCGGTTATCTCAGGATGGTATGCTGCAGATGTTTTATCGGGCGCTTGCTTTTTCCAGGCCACTCAGGGTTCCAGTGCCAGATATAGCTCATTGCTATAGTTACATTCTTGGGAATAGCAGCTTATAATAACTGGAAATTAGACATGCATGAGAGGGTAAGGAGGCTAGGATCAAAATGTTAAGATGTAGAAAGTAGGTTAGAGGCCAGAGCTGTATAATAGATGAAGGGAGAAAAATTACTTAACAAGAAAATTGTGTCCAGGGCTGGTGCTAAGGACAGTAAATAAGGCATGACTCATAAAGGAAGCAAAATCACCTGAAGAGTTAGTGCCGCTGGTTCTTAAAACTCACATACAGTATCTCATTCCGTGCCTGGGGCCTGGAAAGTGGGGTTTATGGCCTCATTTCATGGATAGCTAAACTAAGATTGGAAAAAAATTAGGTGACTTGCCTAGGGTCACAAAGGTGGGATGAGAATTCAAATGTAGGTTCTCTGGTTGCAAAACCCCCTTCTTTCTACTACACCAGAGAGTAAGATTAGAAGAGAAAGAAACAGAGGCCAAAAGAACAAATACAGCCACGTCTGTCCTTTGGTGTCCTCCACCAATTCTTCCTTGACTAAAGATTGAGTTCTACTCGAGTTCTGATTTAAGAAACATTGATAGAGAGGTGGCAAGATTTATTCCCACCCATGCCTACCAGTTTTCAGGGACTGCCTTCCTCTCGGTGGAAACTAACTCACAATTCTCATATTGTCTTTACAGCAACTTCTAGAGCTACAGCTTTTAGCTTACTGTGGACAAGAATAGCTAGCTTTTATTAAGCACTTACTCTCTGTTAGACAGTGTTCTAAATTTAATTCATTTAAACTTCATAAAGTGCCTGTGAAGTAGGGTCTGGTATTTTCTATAGTTTACATACAAGCAAATTGAGGCGTAGAGAAAGGATATTTCCTGAGATTTCACAAATAAATGAAGGACTTGTGTTTTAAATCCAGCAAGTCTTTAACCACAATGCTATGCTGCCTCTCAAATGAAAGATGAGTAGCTACCATAAACTAATAGTTCCCGGTGCTTTGCCAGTGATTGAATCATTGCAACAACTCTGGAGGCAGGTTTTTTAAATTATGA